TATTTCCGTGAATGTTACGATATGGCCCAGCCCTAGAATCCATCTTCATATGCGCATTTCAGAACAAACCCAGATAACAGATATATATAGTGAAGTAATAAATGCATTAAAAAAAAATCCACAGGGCATTGTGTATAAAAGCAAAGCTATGATTTCCTCATTCTGACCTGATGACCTGCTTCATTTGAACTTTAGCAAGTCTTCTTGACCATATATGTTTGCCTAAATACAGTGAGCAGCTGCCAAGTGATTGGCTGTTTAGATGTATGGAAGTGGCTGGTGAGTGTATCTCAAATGCAGGTGACTCGCCACACACCTCTCACTAAAAGCAGAGAAACTCCACCCACCTGACATTCAAGCCTGCTTGTGAGATGCAATGAGTCTGAAGAAAGTAGCCTCAAAGGGCAAGGAGTTAAAATGTCTCATTTCAGAACGCTGCGGGTAAGCATAAGATAAATGATTATTATGAACTGTGAATTATGCATAGCTGCCCTAGTGGAGTACGAGAATCAAAACTTAGAGATGGGAATTGGGATTATAGGTTCCCTTTAATAATCTGATTCGTGGCCTGACATAGCATTATGTTCTGTAAATACAAGTTGTTTTTGTTCTGTTTCATGCAGTATACCAGATGTTGATGCAGAGAAGGTGAGCCTGGAGCCTGACAGCGTCGAGTTTATGGAAAACCTAATCACGAGAGATCGTGCAGAGGCTGGCTTGCAGAATGGTTTTAGCCCCACTTCGTCAGTCGTCAATGATCATCAGACCAGAGCTGAAGACGTGAAGAAGGCCTCAGCTCCTTCACAACTCATTTGTCCAGTGGGATTACACAAGGCTGTTCTAATGTATCCTCCCAGCACTCAGACATCGTCACCATTCTGTTCTGTTGTCCTCACAGCTTCTTGCATTCAGCTTAAATATCAGGCTTTGTTGTTAGTTAAGCTGCAGTTTTACAAAGTGGTTGTGTAATAATTTAAATGTAAAAATGCATGAAAATATAAAAGTATTGGGTACTTAACTGGAGCTGCATAGAAATGAGATCTTGCAGACACCGTACAGTGACACCTTTCTCCTCCCACACCTAAAAGATCTTTCCTCTCAACATGTCGTGGTAAGTGACTGCTATCAAATTATTCCACTTCTCTAAAATAAACTAGACAGCACTTTAATCCCAAACAACTCTGATATTTGCAATTTTCTTTTTCTTCCAATCAGCTTTTCCTCCAGTACCTGCAATTTTTATACCTAAAATATTCCCAGGATGCTTTCCCACAGATGGAGGGATTTAGATCACCAAGTCTGAGTCAGGTTTGTATCTGTGTCCAAATAAGCAATTAGGATGGCTTTGCTTTACATGCAGTCTTCCAAGTTACAGTTTATTGAACACTTGAAGTAAGCACTCAGTGCACTCTACAAATTGCTTACCAAACTGTTGAATTTAGCAATTTGTGGAACCTCCATTGGAAGGAGGTGTTTCATGGAGCACTTTACTGCACAAACACGAGGAGGAAATTTGGATCGTTCCTGCCTACAAAATCATTTCAGTTCATCAATACTTTTAGGGCTGATTTAAATGAAAAGCTCCTTTCAGGCCATCCCACAAATGTCTAGCTGGCATTTGTGAAACTTTCCAAACTTTATTTCTTCATTTAATTGTGTGATTAGACATCTTTGTCTTGTCTTAAGGGGCTAAAAGTTGTATCTTAATGATGAGGTGTGGGTATGATCCATTCTTTAAAAAAAGTATGATTGGTTGATTAAATTAAATTTAAGCATTAATGGGCAGAATGAAAAAATAAGTACTCTTTTGAGTCAGTTGGGGGGAAAATTTTTGTGTTATTGATTTAAGTGGGAAATGTGAGCAAACCTGCAATGAGATCAGCCTCAAACATTATCACTTCACAATCTAACCCGCAGCATTTGGAGAATATTTCTCCTGGCTCATTTGCCTCGGATGTCGAAGCTAGGAGTGATGCCACTCATGATATGAGAGCATCCAAACAGTCTAGTTGTAAACGCAAGAAAAATACAATTTGTTTAGTTGCTTAGCAAGGTAGGGCCCTTCATGCATCACTAGCACTATAGTGCAATGTTTGTTTATTTGCATTTAAAAACACAGCTTTAGCACGTACATGGATGGAGCCCAGTCTGTGTATATGGCTCGTTTAGCAGGTCGCAAATGACAACAGCAGGAGTGCAGATTGTTTCACAGTTTTACAATTTCTTTAGCTTGCACCACTACTATCCCACAATTATATTTAGGGTTTATAAAGACAGCTGTCTCTCCAGCCTTATCTCCATCTACCTGTCTCCATCTGTGGACTATAGAAAAAAATTTTAAAAAATGAAAGAGGTCAGATATTTTCTTGCATGAGTGAATCCGTCAGCGCACCTTAAATATTGGTGCAACAGCTTTGACAAATCAGCTTGTCTGAATAATTTAAATAGTGATACTTTGAGTTTAAAAAGATGAACTGGATTGCATGAAATCAGTGCATTCCCTCTGTTCATGGGTGAAACAGGTGATGGTGTAGAGTTGTTCAGGGTCTTTGGCATTTTCTCCTCTACTTAAGAAACCCAGGAGCCTCTAAATGCCTGTGAATAACCTTTGTTTTTACCAGCCTTTAGTCCTAACCTCAAAGGGAAATGATTAAAAATCATAATAAATGTAATAATTTTCCTATAAATGTGTCACTGAGAGCAACTGTTAGTACTTAGACTCACATCTTTGGAAATTATTTATGCCTCACTCCTAATGTTTTTCTAAAGCTTCTTCCCAAGGCCCTGTAAAAGTTGTTGTGATAAAGGTATTGTTCCCACCAACCACCCTTTACATAGTTTTTAAAGAAATCATTAGCACAGGTTCAGTTAGGTTTTCCAACCTGTAGTGTGGATGATTATTTCATTTGTTGAATAATTTGGCTGTTATTGGTTTAGTCAGATTGAGGTTGCTTATAAATACGACTTAGATGAAGCTCAGACTGCATTTTATTAGAACTCAACACATAAAAAACAATAATGCCAGGGTTCCTTGCAGCTGTGTCAGTGCAGCTATTATCTATATGCCAAGAAATATTAAGTGACAGAAAAAAAACATTTTATCAACCATGCTGACAGATTTTCCTGTATAGATGCTGTGGATGACAGACTTATTTTCACCTGGGTGTGGGTTAGTTCTCCAAAGGCACATACACGCAGTTTTACAAGAGAGATTAAAAGAAATGCAATCACTGGAGACGCGTGATTTTTATTGCGCTTGTAATTATTTATGTCTGAATAATAAAAATACTTTACTGGAGTTTGGCACAAAATTGTTGTACACAAATTATTGAATGCAAAAAAATCCAGTTTTCCTGTTGGAGCAAAACAAGAAAAAAGAAAAAGAAATGCTCACTGTGTGTTGCTTTGTTTGATTGTAGATCATGGATTGGGTGTGTTTGCTGTTGGATGCTCATTTTACGGTGCTAGTAATGACTCCAGAAGCTAAAGGCTTGCTGCTGAACCTCCACAGCTTTGTTAAATCTCAGGTAACAAACAGTTATTCCTTTTATGTGCTCAGTAATAAGCTGCATGTTAATTTTAATAATACCTATTTTGTGTGTCAGCATTGTGCTTATTACTGCAAGCTTATTTTAAAAAATGCTTTCTTGTATCCTCAGGTGAGACTGGTTTCTGAGCTTGGAAAGATTGAGGGAAGCCTTCAAGAACTCCATAAAATGAAGGCGAAGGAGAGCATCGGACAGTACTCCATTGAAATCATTGAGCTGTTTTAGAATGTGTACAAAATAATTTTAATCATTCATAACACCATCTTCTTCCAACCTTTTAGCTAAAATGATTTCACGGTTATTATTCTTGAGTGCTTTTTTTGCCACATACGTTTGCTATCCAGATGTGTAGGCCTTGAAAAAGTTGCGGCTCTCTTTTAACCATGTTTTAAACTTGTTTAAGTCGTCAAAATATTTGACAATTCGCTTAATTTGTGGTTTTGTAAAAGTTTAATGCAGAAGCCACCTCATGCAACAGTATGGTGTGAGATTGTAATGTTAATATTGGGGCTTTGCCTTTCGAACTGTGAGAGTTGATGACTTATTTTTGTATGTGTCATTAGACAGCTAAAAACTGTTGTGAAAACCTTTTATGTTTAATATTAAAAAAGATGATGAACACATGTTAATTCATTTGTCTTTATTTTTATTAAAAGCTGCTGTCAGATATCAGCTTAATTAAAAGGTTTTAAGTTTAAAAGTTTGTAGTGTTCATTTTGACTAAGATTAAAATATCACTTTCATTAAGTGTACTAAAATATATAAAAATATAATGTGCTGTATGTGGAAGTAGGTGAAAAGAAAACTGTTATGGCTGTTACTGAGGGTGAGCATTTAGCAAGATTTTGAGTGAACCTCCAGTTGAATTTTAGTTTTCTTCCATCAATGAATGTGGTGCTAAAAAAATAAAGATGAATATGTCTGTGAAGGTTCTCAGTCATCCAGGTCATCGTAGTTTTTGCAAGCTCCTTTGACTAAAGATGAATAAATCTAGATGAGGGCAGTCGATTGGTGTTTCCATTATTTCCCGCCAATAATCAACTCAAACTTATCTTCGTGGTGAAAGAAAAGAACAATTCGTTGTCGGCAGGATTCGAACCTGCGCGGGGAGACCCCAATGGATTTCTAGTCCATCGCCTTAACCACTCGGCCACGACAACCGTTGCTCACACTTGTCTATTAGAAGCCATATGACACTACACAACCACATATCTATTGCTTAGTTGAGTTTTGTATTACAGGATAATATGAGGTAAAAAAAAAAGACACTTTTCTGTATGTTTAGCCGTTCTGCGGTAAGGTTATGTTCCGTCTGCTGGTGAAGTAGCAATCCAAAATGACAGAAAACACGGACAGAAAAGATTAAAAAATCAAATTAACCTATACAAGTTGTAAAGTCAACCCAGAGGGTAACAAGTTACAACTATTACGCTGTATATACTGTACATACTTTAAAGGCTAATGAGCACTACTACTCTTTAAGTTAACTGACTACACTGGCAAACAATGCGTAACGATTTTAAAGTTATATAATATACATTCGTATCTTAAATAAATTGCAGCAGCTCTCACACATTCGCGGTATTTTCAAAGAGATTGATGTGTGGTATTAACTTTAATGAGCGCGTATTTGTGTCCATGGTAATAGAGCTTAATGTCGGACGCATTATCTTCTCGCCTCGCTTTGCGGTGACGACGATGGCGACAGGGCCGAAAATGAATTATTGTGTTTTACTGAGTGCACTCAACCCACCTGAGATTAAAACCACACAACAGAAGTACCAAACACAAATAAAGTACTATTGACGGACAGCTTTTGCATGGATAACCAATTTTATGAACTAGCACGGCAATTGCGTCTATTGTGGAATAGTGAGTCACGTGATCTCGAATAGACTCAGGCCTGCTACGATCAAGTTCGAGAATGACGCTAGCACTTCCGTGTATGCTACAGCGACGTCCTTAAGGCGAAATCGCTTAAATCTCTTTTTTTAAATGTATGACCTCCCACTGTGGCATTTAAAAAGAATATTCTGCATTTTAAACGGTTGCTCTGCTCTGTTCAACTGGGTATATAGTCAGTGTTTTGATTTTTTAGCTTTTAGTTGCTTTTATTTTGAAGGAGCTAGCGCTCTACGTCTTCTTTGAGCCACTGTTAACCTGAGTTTTAGCTTGACGCAGTTTTGGGGCCTGCTGTGTTTTCAACGGAGGGAGAGTGGTGAAGAAAAATGGCGTCTGCAGGCGACCCAGAGCGGGACACCGGCCATTCAGTTTGAGCTTTCCGCTCACAAATAGAGACTGGGGGTTGGTGGGGACCTATCTGGAACCGTCGCCAGATCTGTTGGCCTTTTCTTCCCCGTTTTTCTCCGGTGTGCGTCGCTCGTTCAAGCAGCGAGATTGAAGCGGAACAGAAGATACTCTCTCCCACAATGAGAGGGAGAAGAGGAAGGCCGCCCAAACAAGCAGCAGTGATGCGGGAAGGTTCACCCGGGCCAGTCCGTGGCTCTCGAGGCGGCAGGAGTAGAGGGATGCGTGGACGGGGAAGGGGCAGAGGAAGGGGTCGGGGACGGGGTGCAAGTGGCGGCGTTTGTGGCACTGGCTCTGTGGAGGTAGATACAGAAATCTCCGGTCGAGAGAACTTTCATTCGTCCCGGGGCCGCAGGAAAGTTGGAGCCTCCACCACCGCCGCTACCGCTGCATCGCGGGGCAGAGGAGGCAGAGGGAGAGGCAGGGGGTCTAGAGGCGGCCGCGGCAGTAGAGGCGGAGTGAGGCGGCCTCAAACCAAGGTGGTCTACGACGACAACAGCGACGAGGAGGATGATAATTTAAGCTACAGATCAGACGAAGATGAACTCCTGAACGACAACCCTTCGTCGGATCTTGAAGAAGAGGAGGCCTTGGGAAACGACTCTGACTATGTGGAGGAACTACCAGATGATGATGATGCCAGCTACTGTACCGAGAGTAGTTTTAGAAGCCACAGCACACTCGGGAGCACCCCAGGTAAGTTCGTTTGCAGGTGCACGCACTTTAGGAAACCGGGTTTTGCAGTACTTAAAGTGTGCATTATATTTTTAGCTCAGTACAGAAACCAAGCCGCATTGTTCAAAATGGAGCTTGCACTCAGAAACAGGCCTTTGTTTACCCCGTGCTCCTGGTCGCTGGTTTGCAGATCTGCTCCACGCTTTAACCGGCTCTCGTGCTTTTGACTTTTGAAGGATCAGCACATTTCTGTTATTAATTTGTAATTAAGAATTTTTTTTTTGTTCGTGCTCTCGTGCACGGTATTACCACGCGCGCTGCCCTGGATTTCTTTTCATACGCACCGAGAAATAGGATGCACGAAAAGCGTTTGTTACTTTATATTCATTCATTCACCTTTTCCAAAAAAAAAAAAAAATGTGTGCATAGTAATGAAAGTTTGTACAAAGTGAGACGCTGTAGCCAAACACGTGTTTTGTAAATATTGTCTCCAGTTTGTAGCGGATTTATCGGGCATTGTTGTGCTTTTTCCACGTGAAGTGCAGTAAGTGTTAGTAGTAAAAGAGCAGTATAAATATTTTTATGCACAGTCAGTAGACCTTACTCAGGCTTTTTACAGGGCATTTGCACAAGACATATTTTCGTTCATATTGCTGCCAAATGAGTTTGACAGGCGTTTGTTTTGAAGAGAACCGCTCTTTCTTTCACTTGTTGCAAACAGCAGCTCATTACGTAGTCGACGTTACCATAGTAACCACTCATGTTTATCAATTAAGGGCTTTGAATTCATCTCTTTTCCACTTAATGATCACTTTAATAAAGTTGTGCGCGCAAAAATTAGTTGACACTCCTGTTATGCAATGCAATGCATTAGAAACAGTATGCCAACTACTGGAAGTAATTCTAGATAGGATTAGGAGGACTCAGGAGTGCATTCCAGTATGTCCAACAGCACAAGCTTGTGCTTATGCAGATCTCTGAAAAGAAATAATAGAATTTGGATTTTATTCTTTTACATATAAATATTTTTTCCACTTTTGTCTGCAGTGGTCAGGATTCGTTTTTCAAAGGATACACCCATAATTTTCGACTTTCTATTAATCTGTTTACTTTTTCTATAGATGTGTGAACATGGCAGCATTGTGTGCCTACCGTGAATGTGCTTTCAAAGGACTAATAGCAACAGACAAGCATCATTCAGTCCACTGGCTGACACATATTGTAAATTCAAACACATTGCACATGCCAGTCCACCATTTGTGGACTCAATCCCTGTGTTTGATGCTCAGTTAAACCTCCTGCCTGCCCTTGTTGGACCATTTAATTGTTTTATTGCTGTAGTCTCTGTTTACCCCTCACCTCTAAACCACAGTACAATATCAGGCCAACCATACATACAGCTGCTAAAAAGTGACTAGCTTACTTACACTGATTGTACAGTATGACAGGCAATGCTGATAACCAAGTTATTTATTTGGGTTTTGAAAGAAAACCTTATGTCAAACTTAAGAGCCTGTGAGATCTGCACACACTATTGTGTATTCATGTAATGCAAATGTTATAAAAACAGTGTACTTAAAGTAATACTACACTGATTATACATATTTAATACATCCAGTGGGATAAAAACAATGACTTGCAAATAATTTAAAGCCTACATATAAAAAATAGTCTTAAAAAATCATATCATTCTTGCCTATTTTTAATCACATGTTTGAAAGGCGGAAGTTGGGGCAAAGCAAGACTGGAAAATGCCTGGAGGAAAAAGGAGTTTGTAGAACATCTCACAGCTAATGATGTTAATGTTTGTAACATGGGTGGGTATAAAGCATCCCCAGGAGACTGAGTCTTTGCTGATTAAATATAGGAAGGGTTTGAGCACTCTGCAAGATTGTATGGACAAAATAGTAAAGAATTTGTGTTTAATTAAATTCAAATACTTGAGGAATCTGGTGAAATCTCTATATGCTGTGGATGAGGCCAAAAAGCAATAGGAGTGGCCATGACGGCGAAATGCATTTTTAAAGAAACCAAAAAAACAGACGATTTTAGTGTTGAAATTATTGAATGGTCTCAGAAACACTTGTGAACATCAGTGTGATCTTGAACATAGTTTGTCACTGGAGCCACAAAAGTTAAAACTCTACTATGTAAAGAAGGAAAAAAACCCAACCCTCAATAACAAGATGCTGACCTGAACTCATTTAAGAGCGAGGTGAAGTGGAAAACGGGTTTGATCTGTCAAAATCTGAATTTCTTTATAGGAAATCATGGCTAAAGAATTGGGGAATTATCAAGTTTGTTATTAGTGTGCAATGCAAATGTTCATCCATCCATCCAACCATCTTTCTGTGCCTTTGTCTGTCATCTATCTAACTATCTATCTATTACAAGAAGGCAGTGCCGAAAAACCTGCCTACAGTCTGGGTCTGTCACCAAATAAGAGGAGCTTTATGAGATGAAAAAAGCAACAAAGGAGCAGCTTAACTCTTATGTATATGCAGCAAAGTGGAAAAGTATTTGGCTTCCAAAACTACAACAGTCTGTCCCCCCAGTTCCCCAAACACTCACCACATGCCGTTAAAAGAAGAGGTGATACAATCCTTTGAGAAACGGTCCCGTGTGCCGACTTTGTTGAAATGCAGGCTTAAAATTTTAAACGAGTATATTTTTAAAACGATAAAGAAAAAATACACATTGTCAGCTATATATTTGTATTAGTGCTACATTCAAACAAATATAGATTTTTAAAAAATATGTTTAAATCCTACATCCTGCTTTTTCTTACATTTTACACAGTGTCATGTTTATTTAGTTATTCATTCAGATGGGTCTGTAGACAGAGATTGTCCAGAATGAATATCCAGGTTTACTACATGCAGCTTATGCTGCAACACCTGCACACATTTCCTCAACAGTAACAAAAGCAGGCTTATAAATCAACTTGGAGCATTTAGTGTGTTTATCCTAAGACAAGGATATTTTTGTCAGCCTTTAAGATCACTTCCCCAGCTCTTCACACTTGGTTACAAATAGCCCAGCTCACATCCGTACTAGCTCGTGATTCCTCAAAATTCCTCACATCTCCTGTTTCTATTTGTAAGGGGAGGGTGCAAAGTTCTATTACTGTTGTGTTATTGCATCCGTTTTTTTATTAGAGCAGATTATTGGGCTTGGAGCTCGTCAGTTGCACTCATAGCACTTAAAAGATGCTTCTTGTGGGTTCTCCTGTAGCTGAAATTATAAGAAGGAATCTCCACAGATTGCTCTGGGTTTGCCAAGGGCATCTCTCTGTGGCTGTGTTACTGCAGACAGTTTATTCTTGCAAAATTACAGAGCAAAGTCAATAAGACCTTAAGGGTGTTGCTACATTAAGGTATAAGGATGTAATGACTAACGGTAAACTGCATACAGTGTAGCTTGTTACAGTTTGGTGTCGTGTTTGTCTGTAATGTTTTTTTTGTGATTTTGGCTTTTTCACCACATCTCTCATCTCTCCTGACTTTTTTTTCTTTTTTTCTTGCATAGGCCGGAAAAAGACTCGGACACTGCAACCACGGTCACCTATTCATGAGGCAAAGGACATTCCTTCCTTGGAGCTTCCCAAGTCCTCTGAGGACCTCCTTGTTCCTACCTCACAGCTCCTCAATGTGTCTGCCGTCTACGAGGTGCTCCGCAACTTTGGCACAGTTTTACGGCTCTCTCCTTTCCGTTTTGAGGATTTCTGTGCAGCTTTGGCCAGCCAAGAGCAATGCACGCTGTTGGCAGAGACCCACGTCTCCTTGCTCAAAGCTATTCTCAGAGAAGAGGACACTTCTAACACCACATTTGGTCCCACTGACGTGAAGGACTCCGTTAACTCCACTCTGTATTTTGTGGATGGTATGACTTGGCCTGAGGTGGTGCGGGCGTACTGTGAGAGTGACCCAGAGTACCGGCACATTTTACCTTTCCAGGAAAATGAGGATTACCCTTACGGACCATTGGATAGCAAAATTAAAGTTCTTCAGTTTTTGGTGGACCAGTTCCTGGCAACCAACATTGCCCGAGAGGAGCTTATGTCAGAGGGGGTGGTAGCGTACGACGACCACTGCAGGGTGTGCCATCGCCTTGGTGACCTGCTGTGCTGTGAGACATGTTCAGCTGTATACCATCTGGAGTGTGTCAAGCCGCCACTGCAGGAAGTACCAGAGGACGAGTGGCAGTGCGAGGTGTGTGTGGCACACAAGGTACCTGGTGTGGCGGACAGCATCCCAGAAGTGCAGAAGAGCAGACCATTTATTCGTCAACTACCGATTGGCTACGACCGACACGACCGTAAATACTGGTTTTTGAATCGCCGCGTTATCGTGTAAGTTCACATTGTTTCATGTTACGCTGTTGCACAGGATTGAACAGTGACACGTGGCTTCATTTTGTAAGCTGATGTACGTTGATAATATGAAATTTATTCTGATGTTTAAAGATCAGAAAAAACCTTCGGATTATCGGGTTTTTTTTTTTTTTTCATGGTCCAATAATGACCTAATAATCAGGCTTTCCATAAAATACCTTTTTAACATTTTCTTTTTTTTTAATAAACCTCTCAAAAAACAAAGATCTGAGCTGAAACCGTGGCTCAAAACCTGAGTTATGAATCATACTGTAAACTACTAATACAAAACAAAGACACAGGTGCCAGACGTTTGTGGTTTATCTCAACGAAAGAGCATTTGTTTGTTCGACTAGTGTTCTTTAAAGCACTTTAATCCACTCTAAGGCAGAGTCTCCAACTTGGTGTTGTATCAAAGTGGGAGTGTTGATGAGTGTCACAAACCATATGCACATAGACTTATAAAGAACATCACAGGGAAGCACAATATGCCCATTAATCCCTTAATGTGCTTTCTGTACAGTTTTTCTTCTTAGTACGATATGTACTCTAACTACTATGTCGTGTTTTGGGGTCTGTTTGGTTAATCACAGCCACTTATGAACAGATTGGCATCAGTGATTGACATCATCTTTGTTCCAGCCTGTAGGTGTTAATCTTTAAAAAAAAAAATAGACCTGCACTATATTCAACATGCACTTAACTCGGCTGATTTAAAAACAGAATATTGTCACAAGTTTATTCCTGAGCATGACTGAGAGTATAGCATAACCACAGAATCATTCACAAACTCTAGATCGGGGTGTCAAACATAAGGCCCGGGGGCCCTAATCGGCCCAGCAAAGAGTCCATTGCGGTCCATTGGACAGCTTTAGAAAATGTGAAGGAGTGCATAGATTTTGAACTTTTAACTCTCTAAGTTTTACAGCTTTTCCAATTGAGAAATACCCCCACCCCTCATTGCAATCAGTACTAAACCAAAGTACATGGACATTTTCTTTGAATCAATGAAAACTTTATATTCTAAATTTATAATTGCAGGACAGTCTGAGCAATGAAATACTAGAAGCTTCTCTGTGACTTTTTTTTTTTTTTTTTTTTTAATGTCATGTGCAATAAATTGAAGTGCTCATATAATGCTTTTTACCTTTTTTCCCCTTTGGCTAAGGGCGCTATAACTTTTTTTTGTGTCTTTGCAAAATCATTTTAGAAACTAAAACTACAAAAAGTCAGATCAAAAGAGGTTAGTCTTTCCTACAGAAGACCCTGCTTTTGAAATGGCTCGTATTGCAGTCCAGTGTTTTCTTCAGTGAGTTATCTATGTCATTATGTGCTGCATTTGCACAGTGCCTCGCTTTGCATCTAGTTCAGCACAACTCACACACAGAAACAAGGCGCTTCCTCTTAGTCCACATTTTTTAATGACTTGGTAGAGCACAATACATCTTCTGTGGTCGGCTGCAAGACAGAACACAAGAGTTTTCATGCACTTCTGGCATCCACGAAACCGAGGATCTAATGGGTAATTTTTATTTTTATGGCAATGTCTTCACATCAATAGGACATACTGGCATGTTAGGTGGATAAGTTGGCTAGCATTAACATAACTGTTGATTACTTGCCCACAGGCAGCACCTGTGTCAAAACAATGATGCTCAGGTGCCCGGAGCCACAGAGGACGAAGTAAGCAGGAACACATCAAACAGAGAGCATAAAATGTCAAAGAAACTTGTGGCAACTACAGGCAAAGTAGATTGGCAACTTTTCCCAACTGCGATTAAAGCAGCCATGATAACACTGATTGCCATATGAAAGGGTGGCGAATACATTAGTAGATTATCTAGATTACTGGAAAGTAGAGCAGGGCGATATGACCTAAGACACATAAGGCACACGGGATTATAAGGGGCACTGTCGATTTTCAGAAAAATCAAAGGATTGATTTTAAGTGTGCCGTATTTTCCAAAAAACACGGTAATAACGACGGCCCACCAGCATGCTCTACCAAAAATAGTGCTTTGTTGTGTATCTGACGGACGAAAGCTAAACCAGTTCCACACCACTGAAGTTGCAGCATTTTTACAAACCAGTTCTGGTTCATCTGTTTCATTCAACGATCTGCATTCGCGCTTCTCATTCTCCGCCATGCTTTTTCCGCCGTGTGCGTATGAAAACAAAGGCATTGCGTATGCGCGTTTTTCCCATATTCTATGGCAGTATTTCATTTTCTTATCGTTGCCCAACATTATACCGGTATTACCATGAACGGTATGGTATGGCCCAGCCCTACTGGAAAGTCCACTAATGACCCACCAAACGTGACACGATTTAAATTCTTTGTTTGTTTGTCTTTTTCAAGAGCTCTAATGAGCTAATATGAGGACAAACATATGTGCTTTATCAGTAATAAAACATGTAAACTTTTTCAGACAGAGTTAACACCAAATAACATGTCTGAACCTGGAAATAATCTGGACATTTTAAAAAGGTCTTCAGGTTACAACCAGGCTTTGTTCCCACTCAGTTTAGCCCAGATCAGTGTCAGGGTTATGAGTACTGATCAAATGCCTTTGATATTAACATTCAGGTTGAAACATCCAAAAAGCACAGCCAAGCATAGTCAAACAGACATAAAACAATTTTTGTTCAGTGCAACAAGGTTTGCAAAACAGATAATTCACCAGCAGGACTAACAGTCAGCAATTTCTGTATTCTTTCTATCCACACTGTACAATCATATTGTGGAAATGATTGGACAGTATACTTTTCTGCTGCAGATAATTTGTAATTGAAGTGGTGATTTACAGTTTTTAACACTGTATCATATGGCTGTGCGATATGACCAAAATCTCATATCCCGATATAAGACATCTATCGTCTGATAACGATATAAATCACAAAAACTTTCTGTAAATTCTGTGAGTCTCGGGCAGCTCGACTTGCGTGAAGTGTTTCCAGCTGGGCGTCGTGTACCTGGAGTCGAGTGTTTTAACCGTTGCATGAAAGTCTAAGGTTTATTTTTTAACACCTGACGGCTCTTTTTTACTTCTCATCTGTAAGTACTCTGCATACTCTTTCACGTGATTCAGTTTATTTTGAAAAGTCTCAACAGGATCTTTGAGCTTTATTGTGAAAGTTTTATGTGGAAAATAAACAAGCCGAAACGCGTTGTTGCTAACGACAAAGCATAAAAACAGGCGCTTGTCCGTCCGTAGTGTGGTTATATTAAATATAAGAGAAAGAGAGAATTTAAGAAATTAATATAGCCACTACAGTGACCATTAAAACAATGAAAAACAGTTGCCGTAAACAGTTTATTTTGCGACACCACGAAACAAACGATAGCGTAAAATGAAACGATAGATGTTTTTATATCGTCATCCAATATCGAACAGCCCTACTGTATCATAACTTAGTTTCATGCATATAAGTACATATCTGCATGTTGGAATACACCGGCTTTTTATTAAACCAGACTACATCTCCATTATAGTTTTAACATAACCTTACTATCAGCAGTATTGGTCCTATATGCTAGCAACTGATATTAGTATTGAGCAGCCACAGATGGTGTGTATGTGCACCTGCTGGATCAGCAGCAGCAGACAGTGTGCAACATAAATCATAAAGGGGTGTGAATGACCTAAACAAAAGGAGATTTCTGAGTTTAGGTGGCCTGAGGTTTGTCATTGCTACATTTCACTTTTTTTGCTTCCTCTGCTCCACCCTGATCACCAAATCAGCCAACAGCAGGTGCTGAGCAACCAGTCTTTTGACTACCTTTTAAAAGTTCTGTTCACTTACAAGAAGTGCACAAGCTGTGTATGTGCAATGGGGGAAAAAAAAGTTTTGTGCGCACAGATGGCCTGGAGGGATGCTGAATAGACACTACTGTTACATGGCCTGAGGCTTCACATTCCCTTGGCAGGAACTCTGTAGCTGCTGCAAAATGAAGTCAAGTGTCCATGTGAAGTGAAGTTGTTTCATTGTCATGTAAAGATTAAGATATTTCCAGTTTTTTGTTTTTTAACATTTAGAGAAAGCAAAAGGATTTATAAACCTTTTATTCAAAATGAACAGATAAGCACCGTCATATCATTTCAAAGATGTATTTAAAGCAAAAAAACATGGGCTCTGCCTTTGGGGAAAAATATTAAAGTACAAAATTTCCATACAAAACATGTAATCTCTGTAATCGCTTGTTATTGAGAAAGTTGTTGCTAAGAGACCTGTGAGGCCTAAGCCAGCTGTGATACTGTAGTACATGTACTGTAGCTCAAATATTAATATGCATTAATATGTGTTTGTACATCACAGTATTTCAAGGAAATTTCTGATAATATAGGGAAAAAACTGAACAGTGTTTAATCAGTGATTGCAGCTTGAAGTCAGCAGCACTTATCAGGGCCAAAAAACGAGGGTTTTTTCTATACGTATTTTCCAGTGAGCTTCTGTCATTGATGACTGCTACCTAATTCAAAGTGTGAAGCTATTGTCACATGATGCTAGCAGCAGCATTACATGGCAATGGCGGTGACACAGCAGAAATCAAATGTTAGTGCAAAAGTAGCTTAGGTGGTGTTTTATACCTTTTAATACTTAATAATTAAAGTTTTCATCAGCCTCTACTGTTTTTGTCACATAATAACATTGAATGTGAAGGATATTTTCTATTTGGGATGCTGTAATTTGTGTCTAGCTCTTTAATCAGCTGCTTTTCCACCGCGTAACCGCATCATCTACCGTTTGCTCGTCCTGTCGCATGGAGCGCAACTAGTGAGTGCTCCAGCAACACTTGGTTGAGTCATTTGTTTACTTTTGGGTCCCTCATCACCAGCTGCTAATATCTCCTTCTTGTGTGCCTTTGTAGCCTGGTTCTACTTGATGGTGTGTTTTTTGAGTTTGATGTTTCTACTTTGCAAATTTTGCAAAGCTTTGTTGGAGGATAATGAAGTTGGCCCCCTTTTTATTCAGTTGCCATCAGATGCGAACACAAGGCGCTCACTGTCAAACACGTCTGGGTTTGTCTCCTTGTTGTGTGCACGGGGGAGCATGAACACAGGGCATGATAGGGCGGTGATATCTTGATGTGACAGTTTTATATCATGTAAAAAGTTTAGACTATTTTTTTTTTTACCACAGGCAATGCAATTTGACACAGCCTTAATCTAATGTATATCAAATGGGCTCCAGAATTTTATATATAGGTATACGAGTTCAGCAAATGCTGATAAGAACAAAAAAACATGTCTAACAGTCCCTCTGATAGACATGTCAGACCTGTACCTGCTTATTGTTAAGGAATTTATATGTAGTTCACTTAAATAAATAAAAAAAGACTCATTTGAATCAAAACAGAAGATAGAAATAGGCTTTATCATTTCTGACAAGGCTCACTTTGTTCATTTTTTTTGGTCAGTCAAGCATACACTTTGAAGATTATGCATTTATTGCTGATCATTCATTCTATAAAGTGAGTCTGACAGTACCACAAAGAGTACCACTAAGTCTTAAGCTGCTACGCCTTGCAGTTTTTCTTGACACCCATTAATGTGTTACAACCTTAAGTTTAATATTCAAACCACAGTGGCAGGGACATGTGCAACCTAACAAGAGGGCCACTGTGCAAAGATCATTTCCAGAATCCAGGTAAAAATCCTAATCCTTGGTTTAAATCAAAGTTCTCTCCAAAGACTTAGGTGGACATGATTGGCTGTGCGTGTGGTTGCCTGGATACAAAGCATGTCACTTTAACTTAAAACTGCATCCTGCTTTGCACTCTGAAAGGTGTGACTGGAAGCGGCGATGCATATCTCTACCCTTTTGATTCTCCTTTCAGGATGTCGGTCTGCTCGCTGCTAGTTTTAATCTCTCATGTTGTCTTCACTCTTCAAAGTTACGAAAAACTTCACAGCCAATTATGTTTTTGCTTAGTTCACACAGTTAGTAAAGTTTTGACAGCGATGTTATTTATTTATTTTATGTTGAAAGTTATAATTACTCTGAAAATCACTGACGAGATAAGATGGCCCATGACAGAAAGCCTCCATCCTCTACTGTGAAAGCTAGCGTCACAATCATAGCTACATTTGTCTGAATGAGCCAAAGCTGCAGTCAGGTCCTCAAGTTATCTTGATAAATGCAGAGCTACAATAGAGCCGCAGCGTTGGGTGTGCCAACTCACACTGTGGTCACCACCAGCGGTTGTTTGCGACATAATATATCATGCCGCGCTGCAAACGCTGTATGTCACTTTGCATGTTTTGCGCAGCCTGTTTTATGGATCTGAGGAAATGGAAGCGTAACCACACTCTTCAGGGACCTTGTACAGTTCGATATGAAAAATAAAATGAAAAGAATAAATCTCCTGACAAGGAAAAACACAAGCCAAATTAAATCACATAAAGTCCAACAAAGGAATACAGACAGCAGAGTCTGTATTGTTTAGAGCATGTCTGCCAGCAACTCTTCCTTCTTCCCCTTAATTCTTTCTTTTTTTATCTAATTTCCCATGTCTCCCCTACAGTGAAGAGGATGGTGAGTTGGAGGACAAAGCCATCTGGTACTACAGCACCAAGGTAATGCACATCATATTTTCTTGTTGCCTCTGTTGTAGGCTCTTCACCGAATCACATTTAATCATTTTGGATCATCTCTTTTATTACAAACCTTCTTTCTAATGAAATGCTTCCAGGCATTCTGTCTTTTTTTTTTTTTGCCAGTAAGCCTGTCATAACTTTGAGCTCATGAAGTGGAGTGATCATTTACTGAATGCTCCCTGAACTCCGTCTCTCTCAGGTGCAGCTAGCTGAGCTGATAGATAGCTTGGATAAGGAGTACTGGGAGGCTGACCTGTATGCAGCCCTTCAGGAAATAAGGGACGAAGTGCACACGCATATGGACATCACCGAGGACCTAACCAACAAGGCCCGTGGCAGCAACAAATGTTTCCTCACTGCTGCAAATGGTAAAGAGATTATCATTTTTTCTCCTCCTCATGAAATAGGCTCTGACAGTCTCAGATACTCCCTGTTGCTGAGTTTAATCATGCTTGAAAGGAGAATGATCTCTTTTAAACTCAAAGTAATTTTTTCCCCTTTCTCTTCCTGCCTCTCTTTCCTCATTCCTGCCTGCGTTCTCGCCAGTACTCATGAATGCCACCCAGTCATAGATGGCTTGGCCATAGGAATCAACTCAGCTATTATGTAACGTTACGCGGGTCCCAGTCTGGAGCATGTCCAGCACTTGAGCTTCTCTCTCTCCTTATCCTTTTCTTTCTGCCTATAGAGTATCTCCCAGTGTCTTTTGTTTGTTTCAGGGCGTTTTGTGTGTCTGAAAATTAAGAGCGTTTGACCACATATCAGCTCATTTATTATAGCATTTTGTTTGCTCTGCAGTGGAAGTTGGTAAGAATAATACACTGGAAAATATATGCTAGATTAGTCTTGCATTAGTCATGGTTCATAATGATCTTTTCTCTGTTTTCTTTACACTGGGTTTTCTTCTGCCTTAAAACAGCCACTTCAGCTCCTTTAACTTTAAGGCCAACTTTCCTCTGATTGGCTGCTCCTTGTAAACAGAGGGTTTGAATTAAAATTTAAATCTAGTTTATGTATTGCTACATAACTCTCGTATGTTTTGGATTACAGATATTTAAGTCTTAATGTGATAATACACAGTACAGAATCGCCATACCTTTGTCTTCTCCTCTCTGCAAATTTGTTTTGCTTTTGTCTTGCTGCACTGGGATTTTAGCCCTTGTTTTTTTTTTATCAGAATTGTAGTGTTTTGGAGAGATGGCAGCCTCACCTGAACAGTCTTTCTACTGCCTTGTTTGAATTCTCCCTGGTTATTGATGCAGTAGGACAATGTATGAATCAATAGTAGTACAGCAGCACAGGGAGAGGTTCTACGTTGACCAGTTTTACATTCACCTGTCGTCAGACCACCAAAGATTCCTGTTTCTAAAGCACCCTCTACCGTATATTAAATACCCAGCATGCCCTACCCGGCAATGTCACTCTTGCTGTGTGCGCCAGCACTGGACTAGCGACCGAAAATTGACCCTTACTAGAATCTAGCTCTATTGGGCTGCTTCTCAGCAAATTCTTCCCAGTTTAACACAAGTGATTATATAGATATTGCACGTGCTAGTTATCGAAATCATAAACAGTCTAACGCTTCCACCATTCATAACATCAGGAATCCATTGAAAGGCAGTTCTCTTTTCTCCTAGTTTATGTTTAAAAATAAAGTCCAATCTTGTCATATAATGTACTCACATGGCTCATTTTTCATTATCATTCATATTATTTCAGTCATCATTTCTATCAATCCATCTACTACTTGTTGATTTACTCTAATAATTAAATAAAAAAGTCTTCATCAGTTTTCTGACGGACATTTAGATGATCATATACTGAGAACATCTCAACCACCAACATAAACATACAAAGAGGAAATGTGTTTTAACTCTTTTTTTTTCCCATTTCCCAGTTCTTCAAATTTTCTTGTACCTTCTCTTGGCTCAGCCCTGAATTTGACTTTTTCTTTCGTTTATTTCACTTTACGTCTTCCTCTTTTATTCAGAGGAGATCCTGGAACGATTGCGGGCTAAGAAGGAGGAGGAGCTGGAAGAGGTGAAGAGACGGGCTGCTGAGGAGGCCCTGAAAGCGCAGATGGAGAAGGAGAAAAGAGAGGTGGATGTGGAGAAGGAAGACGAAGATGTCAAGTTGAAGGATGAAGGACAGCAGGAGGCCAAGATAAAGGAAGCGGCAAAGGAAGAGGGGGAGCAGCGGACAAAAGAAGAAGAAGCTACAAAGAAAAAAGTGGATGGTGCGAAAGCTGGAGGTAATTATGTTTCTTTATTTTTTTAAAACCCATAAAAATATGACCAAATATATGCTACAAAGTAATAATCATAGGAAAACAAAACATGTATGCAGCTGTCTTATTCTGCTTTTGAGCCTTGAACAAACGACATCACTGCAATCCTGTAATTAGTTATTGATTGATGAATCAATTTCACACGTGCTTGACCTATTAAAATGCTGTGAGCATTTCAAGACTCAAGCCACAGGCTGGCAATCACAAAAGGACATATGCCTATTCACATCAACGTCTTGTTGGGACTATGCTGCCCTCTGCGATAAAGAGGCATTTAAAAAGAGCAATAGCACTTTTATTGCACGTACACTAAGAAAGACAATACACAAACGTGCCCAATCATCACTTCCCCTCTCCAGTGTCTCCAAGTAACCAATGCATTATCAACATATTTACAATGTTGCTGCTGTTCATCTGTAGTCGGTGAAGCTCCTCCCACTGGCCAAGAAGGCAATAGTAGCATCTCAGATGGATCCCTGCTTCCAGCAACCTCTTCTCCAACGCAAACCGTCACTGCAAGCTCTAGTGTGGCCGCCGAGGCTCCGAAGCCTCCGGCCTCGACCGCAGAGGCTCTGACGGAGGCGTGTTCCCATATGGAGGTCTCTAACAGCAATGAAGGTAGATAGATAATATTTAAGGGAGAAATTGCCCTCGTTAAGCTGCTTTTGGAGATCTGCTTCCCTGCTACAGTTTGCAACTTCACGGGACTGAGTGATGAATCTCATTTTCATTCCAACATTTATTCCCGGTGCTTTGGTGTTCCTCTTTGCATGTTGCTCTCATTCCGTCTACTAGCTTTTGTGTTCAGTGGTGTAGTTACTTCTTGAATATTGGCTTTTGTCTTGAAACTGTTCCAGTCATTTCGTGCTTTAACTCAGTTCCTCACACTTGCTTTCTTTAAAGAGCTAAGAAGCTGATTGTGTTGTGTTGATTCGCAATCACATTGCATTGTCTCTGCAATCAGCACGACTAGAAACGCTCCTTTAACAGCTAGAGGCAGCATTCACATTGTCTGGTTCTTTAAAAAGCTTTTCTTTGGCTGCTTATGTGTAATTGCTTGTTTGCAACTGCTGCCTTTGATTAGACATTGCTCTGTTTATTAATTGCTTTTGTTGGGTTGATAGCTCAGTGACGATGTGCATATACTTCTTCAGAAAACTGACTCATCTTCATCATTGATGTCATGTGTGCACAAGCCTCATTGTTGAGCGTTTCTTTCTCTGCACTAGTAGCCTTTAACTTTCAAGTGACCAATTGCTACACCTGAAGTGTTTATGTGCTGCATGCATTAGGCATGGCTTATCAGCAGAGGGAGCCACAGCCCCAACATTTTTCAGAATGGTCAGAAGAAAGTTCCTGTCTTTACTGAAACTGAAGGTTTTTTTTAAAGGCTTGGTATTCATTTTTCTAATTTACAATATGTGCTGTTCACTTTTGTGTTGTTGGGTTAAACAATCCATGAAATGTGTCTCGGATTGTTACCCACAGAATAGCACAGTTGAGTCACATTACTCTTAATTAACCTGTCAGCTCTGTTTATGATTACATTTACATTTATTGTATTTTGCCTGTTCAGCAGAAAACCCGCCATCAAATTCTGTTCCTGTCAGTGGCGATGGCATACCCAGCCTAAGCCAGCCTCCCCACCCCATTGAGGAAAACAGTAACAGCAGTACTGGAGCTGGTGTCCCTCCGAGGTGTCCTGAACCCCCAGACTTGGCTGACAAGTCCTCCCAGTCATCCCTGGCGAGCCTTGATGATGCAGGTCTGACAAAACAGCATTATGTGACTACATTATACTGAATGATGCTATATTATACTACCTCAGAAGATAAACGATCCCAGAAGAAGCTGTTCACTATGTCTTACTAATCCCCACCACACTGTATATTACTGAGTTTATTACTGAGCTGTGTATCACTCCCTCTGCATCTGATTGAATTGGACATTGCATTACCAGGGGACGGTAAAGACTCCACCAACGGTGAGGGGACAGGTCCCGGTGCTAAGAAGTCATCAGCAACTCGCATGGTGACCCGGCTGAGAAACCCGGACAGCAAGCTGAGCCAGCTGAAAAACCAACAGGTTGCAGCTGCTGTTCATGAAGCCAATAAAGGCTTCAAGGAGGGCAGAGAGGTAAGAAACCACCAATGGATTTGGGCTTTTAGACTATACATGAAAAATTGGTGCCAACTTCCTAACATGGGCGTTCAGACCGGCATTTATATTCATGACGTTACAAAGAACAAAAGGATTCCCACAGATTCTTTCAAAAAAGTCTTAAACAGTGTTTTTTTTCTTAAAAGTATTATTTTTTATTTGCGATACTTTGATGCTTATAACTAAGATATATTCTAAGGCTTTATCCAATAAATCATATTGTCTATTTTTTTTATTGCTGGCTGTAATTTTACAGCCAGCAATACTAAATGTAAGAGAAAAGGGAGGAGGAGCTTGTTTAAGGATATAAGGATTTAAATGAAAGGTTCAGGGAGTGCTTCGTTATTGCTGTTAATAATTTTACTGTGACTTGGAAAATGCACAGAGACAACATTGGTATTGAAAATAAACATACATTATCATCTTCACCTGAACCACCCACTGTAACACTGGATATTACGATATAACCCGGCGGTTGTTCAGGCGTGTCATACTCATACACGTTTTCATGCGTCTTTTTTTTTTTTTTTTACTTTAGCTCATTTCAAGGCTGCATTGTCAGTGTGGGTAGTTCAGTTCAGTCTACTTTTATGTATATAGCACTACTTAAGGCTCTTTAAATTGTCAAGTTAGGACCCTAAAATAATGGAGAGAAAGCTCCAACAATTGGGAAGCACTTAGCAACAGTGGGAAAGAAAAAGTCCCTTCTTGCAGGAAAAAACCTCTGGCGAAACCAGGGTCACAGAGGGGCAGGCATTTGGTGTGAACAGTTGGGAGTGATGGGAGGAAGACAATAGGGACACGTTTTCCATTCCAACTGGATTTTCATTCTTTGCTTACTTTTTTAGGTACTGGTAGTAAACGCACAAGGTGACATCACTCGCGTCAGCACACGCAGCAGCAAAGAGGTGGTAATGAAGGGGACCCTCAACCAATACTTCAAGCTTGGGCAGGAGGGCAAGTACCGCATCTACCATAACCAGTACAGCTCCAACGCCCTGGCCCTCAACAAGCACCAGCACAGAGAGGCAAGTAGCATGACGTCTTTGTTTCTAACATTTGAATGTTCTTTCATTACTGCATCTGTCTTCCTGGCTCCGGTATTCTTCTGCTGTTTTTATTTTTATTTGCATGTGTTTCTACTGTTTTTATGGTAGTGCTAGTCACATTGAAGTTGTCCTTACTTGTGAACATATGTGTCTTTACTTGTTATATGTGGCAGTTTACACCAGTTACTATCCAGATGTGGAATTAGGTTCCAAGTGAAAAATCTCATTCAGTTCTTTGAGTTACTGGATTCCAATTCCCAACTAAATTCCATTTCTCTGTTTGTTTACAGGACCATGACAAGAGGCGGCATCTCTCCCACAAATTCTGCATGACACCAGCAGGAGAGTTTAAGTGGAATGGGTCCATTTATGGCTCCAAGGTTCTGACTATCTCCACATTGAGGCTCACTATCATTCAGCTGGAGAACAATGTTCCAGCACCATTCATGCACCCGAACTGGGCATCACACAGGTATAAAAGGGAGTGGGGGACTGGGATATAACAATAATATCTCATGTGCTCCACTGGCTTTGTTTAGTGGGTTTTAGGTTTTATGTCTTAACTTGCTAGTGAGGTTAACACCTTTCAGTAAATCAGTTACTTTTTTGGGTCAAAGTAGCATTTTTAACAGATGTAAAAGCAAATCGTGGTCAGACTGTCTGCTTACAAATATTCTGTAGCCTAAATCTGAAAGAACCCAGAGTACAGGAGGAGGTCGAAACATGCTAAAATGTTTTGTTTATTTGTTTCTTTGAAGGACCAATTGGATCAAAGCAGTTCAGATGTGCAGTAAGGCCAGAGAGTTTGCACTGGCTCTGGCCATCCTGGAGTGTGCAATCAAACCTGTGGCCATGTTGCCCATCTGGAAGGATTCACTGGGCCATACCAGGTATGAAAATCTTTACATATTTACAGTGCGCACCATACATGCTGCTATCGCTTCACAAACACAAATAAATTAAGTTTTACAAAAAAAATTCAAATACCTTGAAACAAGCTTTCAGTGCACGTACATGGGGGGGATGTGCATCCAGTTAACTGGCAGAGCTGATCTTACCCAGATCAGATCAAAAGGCCCACCCTGGCTGTGAGGCATAATATTTAGATTGCAAGTCCACAACCAGCCACCACCTACCCCTGCCTCTACGACTGCTTCAGCAACACAAGGGCTCTTTTAAAGAAGTGATTGTCCAAGATTTCACAAGGTTAAGAGCAGAATGTGTGTATGTGTAAGCCCGAACTGTTAGTAAGTGAGAGAGAAAGTGGTGTTTCAAGGACTTGTATCAGTGTGTATATGTGTGAGGTTATCATGGAATGGTTTCAAGACTTACTGTCATCTCCTCATCTTTAATCAGAGTTTGAAAGGAAGAAGTTTTTGTGATCCATCAACATGTATGATGTTATCACATGCAGCAATGATAATATTGTTTATGCAGCATTCTATGAAAACAAAATTTCAGATGCAGATCGCTCAAAAACGACTTTTTTTCTGCTTCTCTTAGCATAAAGATGGAAACATTTAAAATGTACGAGCTGTATGACAATTTAAAATGCATTTCAGGTTAAATCGCATGACATCCATGGAGCGTGAGGAGAAAGAAAAAGTAAAGAAAAGGGAGAAGAAGTTGGAGGATGAGGAGACGTTGCAACAGGCCACCTGGGTCAAATACACCTTTCCAATAAAACATCAGGTAGGCGCCGCACAAATTGCTGCAGTTGAACTGATTATTCAAATTCTGGCACATGAATTATTGAATGGATGATGGATTTCATATGAACCTGGATAAGTTTATCCAGAGATTAGCACATCATTTCAGATTGGACCGCGTTTAATGTAAATTTGTACTTAATACTGTGCAGGAAGACCACAGTTAAATGACAAATAGGTAAATGGTAAGATAGGCAATCATGCTTAGATGCACTTGTGGAATGATTGTGCACTAATTTTAATGGTAACTGCAGTATGTCGGTCTAATCTACATCTGCATTGAAACTTTGGAAAATGAGTCCTTTTAGTGGGAAACACTGAAGTGCATGTTGTGCATACATGCATGAGGGCCGATCAAAGGCTCTTTGATGCAGAAAGTTAAGCTCTGCTGTGAGTCATTTCCCTCAGCAATTAGTGATCGGTGTGCAAATAACTTTGTAACCTTAAAGCTCTTTGTATGATCACCCTCTTAGTTTCCCACCACTTATTTCCCCCCCTCGTGAATATTTTCGCTTTACCTGATTCCTCTTTTCTTGCCTACTTTCTTGTCCTGCATGTAGGTGTGGAAGCAGAAAGGAGAGGAGTATCGCGTTACAGGCTACGGGGGCTGGAGCTGGATCAGTAAAACTTATGTGCCACGATTTGTTCCCAGACTTCCAGGAAACACCAACGCCAACTACCGCAAAGAACTGGAAGGTGTGGAACAGGAGGCTTTTATGGCATAGCCTGTGCTTTTTAGTTATTTGGAATTAGAATTTATTTCACTCTTGACAGATTTGTACCTCATTCAGTTATTTTTACGTGTTATTGTTTGTGTTTATTGGTCAACAGTGAATTAAATTTCTCTGGATTTATGCTAATGTCCTGGGGAATTTAATGTAATTTTCCCAAAAGTTCCCAGTAAATTCAATTATTGATGGTCTGTCCAGTTAATTTGCTCAGTTAATATAATAACAATGCGTGAGCAGCTTAATATAAGGTTATCCTCTCATTCTGTTTTTCAAAGATGCTAAACTTGGCAAGAAGTGTACTCTGCTGGACTTGAGTCGACGGCCTAGTGTAGTCACACCAGAAGCTCAGGGAGCTGCTGCAACAAGCAGCGAAGCAACAGAAGAAGACTCCTCTGGCCTCCCCAAGCCACTGACAGATCAACAAACATCAAATGTGAAGAGGGACGAAGAAAAGAAAGAAGATTTGGATGAAAAGGAGAAGGCGAAAGAGGAATTGCCGGCAGAGGAATCGCCCATGAAGATGGAAGTGGATTCAACAGACTCGCCGTCAGATGAAGTGCAAAGTATGACCGATTAACATTGCGTTCTGTTGCATGTATACTATGAGTGGTCATTTACTTTAAACTGCTTTAGCTCTAATACTTATGATTCTAATGTAAAGAAACACATTTAATCTGAATTGTTTTCTCTCCAGGTTCTTGTATTCAGGAAGATAAGGATTCCCTGAAAGAGGAGCCAACAGAAAGCCTTCAGCGACCATTTAACTATGATGTAGTGGATGTCAGCAAAGGCTTCCTCACCCGCATTGCTTACAAGAAGAAGGTCAAGTCCTCCAAACTGGACAGTCTACTTGAACGCAGAGTGAAGCAGCACATTATCGAAGAGAGGCAAAGAGAACAGGTGTCAGCCTCCAAACCCCAGGAGCCTAAACAAGTTTCATCCATACCAACCCCTGCTCTAAGCACTCCGGTCCGGCCACGGTCACCACTCAAGCCCCAAGCTCTCACTCAGACACATCTCACACTGGGTGAAGCTGTGAAAGTGGAGGAGAAACCTTCCACAACTGAAACTCCAGGGCAAGGAGAAGTTGGAGGACAAAAAGTAGAAGGGGAGAGTCGGGATGAACTCTCTGAAACTACAGATAAGATTGTCACTCCTCTTCCTTCTCCTGTTACGGACTCCACACCCAAAGACAGTAGCAGTACAGGTGAAAATTCAAATTCACCACAACACCAAACCACCTCCTCGCCCCAGAAATTGGTGGAAAATGAAAGGACTACGGGGCCAAAGGAAGCTAGTTCGAGGCCAGAGGCTGTTAAACTCCCCGATGTGCAAGAAACAACAGCTAGTTCTTTAGAGCAACAAGCAGACTGTGTAGCATCAGATGTTACGAAGGCTGCGCTTACTGAGAATGAAGGGTCTGAGGAACCCAAATTAAAACTGAATGCTGCAGTGACATTTAGAAGTGTTCTTGACCAAAAAGACAGTCAAGACACAGCTCCTTTAAAACCAATTCAGCAAAACACAGAAGTTTTAGGCTCAGTGCATTTAAGCACAGAGGAAAACGGTATGGGGCCAGAGGATAGTCAAGACAATATGCAAGATATTGGAGATGGTAGGACTGTAACTGGCACTCCCGAGCCAGTTTCTCCTCTCCCTCAGGTAAATGGTAATGACGGTTTTGGGGGTGAAAACATGCTGGGTAACTCTGTGATGAGCTCAAATAATGGCATGCCTAACAGGCCTCAGCCCAAGGTGAACAGTATTGGGAAGGATGAAGATGAACAACGGCTTGCTGTGTCGCTGAAAGACAGCACGCAGCAAAAGCCTTTAGTGAACGGGGATCTTGCTTCTTTAAACACTAGCACGGAGGTTAGGGTCAAAGAAAATTGTTTAGCTTCTAAGGTAGAGGAAGAAAACAAGATTACAAATTCTGACCAAGATTACAAACCTCCACTGAAGAAAACAAAGCTGGAAAATAACGTAGACACACCTGCAGAGCATACTCCGAATGTTCACAACAGCACATCATCTTTTGAGTGCACGGAGACCAAACCCAGTCCTGGCGTCAAGATCATAAGAATGGCTCCCTCTCCTATACCTTCAGCGGAGGAGTCGAGTCTGAGCGACGACTTTGCAGAGGAGAACGGCAACGGTGGGGCGACGGAACCAGTCAAGACCATCATCACCCAGGTAACCACAACCTCCACCACCACTACCACCACAGTACTTTCCACTGAGATGAGGATAGCCAAGGTGCCGTCGACGACATCTGGAGAACCGGTGGTGCCTGTAGTGTCGACAACAGAGAGCAGCGCCGTGTCTACCCTCACAACCATGACCAAAACAACTGTGACCAAAATCTTCTCCCCGGGGCTCGATGGCCAGTCTGAAGACAGCCAGAGTGAAATGGTGACACAAGAGCAGAAAAGAACACTTTTAGCTTCTGTGGGCGAGTCAACTACTGACGCCAGCGGTAAAACCTCAGTGTCGTCTGTTACCGTGAGCGAGGAGGACTCGTTGTCAACAAAGGGCCGTGTGCGCCTCCTCAAGTTCTCCCGCACTAAGAAGACCCGCTCGGACACAGCTCTTCCCTCTTACTGCAAGTTTGTCACCAAGAGCAGCCGGAAGAGTATTTTTGTACTTCCGCATGATGACTTAAAGATCCTGGCCAGGCGAGGCGGATTCCGTGAGGTGCCAGTGTTTAGTTACAATGCTAAGCCAGCACTGGATATCTGGCCGTATCCTTCGCCCAGGCCTACGTTTGGCATCACCTGGAGGTAAGGTCCCATTCTCAGTTTGTCTTCCTCACACACGTCTTACTTACTGTCCTCTCTCTCTGAAGCTGGTGTGTTATTAAATTCTATTATCTGTATTGAGTCTTAGATAAGATCCATATTTCTTTAAGCATGAATAGAAAAAGCAAAGTTGGAAGCAAGTTGATCTTTAAAGCCTAGAAGCGACATTGCCAGCTCATCATCTTCATTATCATTTGTTTCCTTTTCTTGTCTCCGGTGGTGGAAACTACTTAGGAGTTTAATCTTGTTTGATCCCTTTATCATTTCCGAGCATGGGCATCCTGAGTGCAACTTCGTAGGTCTGGTTATTTCCCATGTTCCTTTGATTGGTCATTCAGAATTGGACATAAGTGTGAATATGAGCATGAATGGTGATCTGTCGGTCCGCTGTAGACCTGTGATAGCCAGGCAGCCCCTCCAGGGTATACCCTCCCTCTCACCCTGTGATAGCTGGGATAGTCTCCAGTCCCACCGTGACCCTGAATTGAATAGACTGAAGGAAATTAAAAAAAAAACAAAAAAAACCACAACAACATATTGCTTTTAACTGTTAATTAATGGCCATTCAGAGGGAGTATATTTCAAAATATGTAAAATGCGAGGACATCCTCCTTGGTTCATAAGCTGAGTTCCCTGGTTGTATCCCGGGAGGAGACGCAAATTTCTTGAGGCTTACATCAGGTAGGGCGTAAAAATCTGTCAAGTCAAATATGTGGAAATACCTACTGTGTTAATTTCTTTGGATGTGTTCGGAGTGCTCCGATGGTTTCAATGTCGCCTTACTGCAAGACGTTTCTTGGTTCAAAGTCAGTTGGAGGCTTTCTTTAGAGTTCATGATCGCCCACAGTTTAAAAACATGTGCTTGTTATGTTAATTGGTGATTCTACCCGCTGTGAGTAAAAGAGCGGGCCAAAGGAGCTGTCTTTTTTCAGATTTTGGAGCAGCATAATCATGGAATTAGAATCCCATTAAATGGCTTTTGAACATCATGATATAACCAAGGTTATCCACTTTTATCAGATATTGTGAGGTTCCGCTTCATATCATATTCTGTCCAGCAGCACTGCAATTAAAAATGTTCTTAATGAGTTCTTTTTACTGGACTTCTCATTTCTCTTGAAATGTAATATCCAGGAAATGAGCTCAAAAATGCAGCATTTCACAGCGTAAATGCTCTGTAACCACACTTACTTTTCCTAAGAAGAAAACTTAAGTAATGATAGCCAGAGCGCAAGTGTGACACAGTGCGTAATCATCTCTGTATTGCTCTGTGGTTCTTGTAGGATTATACAAAAGCAGTTTTTGTGTTTCTTCTAAGTTTTATAAGCACTCACTTCTCATCCTTCCCCTTTAAACAGTTTCCCAGCTTTGGCAGAGCGCCATGTCCTAGTGATTTATTGTTCGTTATGTCTTCATTCTTCCTGTCTGCCGTTCGTGGCTTTGGCCTCGGGTGATGCTGTAGCTCTGACTCTGGTGTCACACGGGGACCTCTGGTTATTTTGACCCGACCTCAGAGTTCCAAAGGAGACATGAATCATTCGGTGGTCGGAGAGGTGTCACGATGTTCGCTTTGCGCGCTGACCAAGCCCTGCAACCCAGGCATATTTTTCCACCTGCGGTTACACATGGGAAAGGGAATATCCACCAGATCCCGTACACATAATAAGCCTTGTGACGATCGTGTTTTTTCAGATGTTTAAGATGCCGTTAATGATGATATCCAGATGCTAACCTCATTGTCATAGCAGTCATAACGATATAAGGAAGGGATTTTTACTTCTTTTGGAAATTATTTATTGATGGGTGAGATGTTGTTGTCTATTTTTAGACTGAGAAGAGTCTGTTATGTTCAGAATTGTTTACTTGCTTGATTTGCCTTGTAGAAATAAATAGCCCTGCAGAGATCTGTTCTGTTTCTTTAGTGGAAACGGGCGTGAAGTGTCAACATCATCACCAACAACTCTCGTTTGTGTTTATTCTGCCGCTTCCAGACCCATGATCGTGTTTTCTGTAACTCTGAGTCAGTCGTTTCAGTGACACCTTAAGTGCTGTCAGTAGTGTTTCTATGCCTGATTCAAATATTAATTTGCACTATATAACAACGAGACAGGGAGCACAGTGGTGCTGTGAAAGGAGGAAAAAGGCTTCTGGTTCATGAGGCCTGTCTTTGTGCATTATTTCTTTGGAATAATGTGGTAGATAATTTAATGTAATCGGTATCTATCTGTCCAGGTATCGACTGCAGACAGTTAAGTCTATGGCTGGAGTGAGCCTCATGCTGAGGCTCCTGTGGGCCTGTCTGAGATGGGACGACATGGCCGTGAAACCGTCCGCTGCTGTCGGAACCACGCGTACAGGTAGACCTTCAACAGTTCCAATAATAATTTACAGTTTTCATCCATTTTCTTTGAGGAATGGCAACAAACTCCTACAGAGGTGTTATGCTAAATAAGTGCTTGCAGCTACAGCTTGGATTATAAATGTTATTTTTATTTATTTATTTTTCATTTTGAGGTAAGTTCAGATTGTTTTTCAGGATTTTATTTCAATTGTTTTTTTTACTAACTTGTAAGGCATGGTAATCTTACAAGAAGACAGCAACTGCCGTCTTCCCAAAAATTCCAACTTGTAGTGTCTTTGCTTCTTGATGTCCTCTCTCTCTATACTTATCCCTGTGCTGGCCCAACAGAATAATAGAGAAAACATGTGCAAAACATTTTTGGGCATCACTGTTTTTATGTTGGAGTGCGTTTCCTCCATCTTTTCGGGCTTTCCTCCTCATCACCATACCAACCCAGCCCTATCCCCACTCATTGCTACAGAGACATCAGATACTGAAATCACCACCACCGAGATCATCAAGCGCCGCGATGTGGGACCATACGGCATCCGCTCAGAGTACTGCATACGCAAAATCATCTGCCCCCTTGGAGTGCCAGAAACTCCAAAAGGTAAAACAGACTTTTATTTGTTCACATTTATTAAAAAACAAACAAAACAAAATCGTCTCATGTCGTTTCTCACCATCAAACACAAAGTGAAACTGTTACATTACTAACTCTTTGTTAATAACAGAAATATGCAAACCTGTTTTGAACTTTTAAACTGTATAAATAAAACCATACTATAAATGTTTAAATACAGTTTATTCTTTCTTCTGTTTGGTTTCCCTGCAATAGTTGGTTGTTGCTCAGTATTTCAGCATTGGATATGCTGTCTTTGTATTATTTATTGTTAAATATTGGTTTTAAAAGATGTGCAGTCTGTTTTAATTTACATTTTACACTCCGTACAAGTTATTATTGTAACCAGGCTGTAAAACTGACACATTTACATGGGCCCCGTTTCTGTCCAATACCAAATGTAATTACAAATTGTCGACAATCATTTGTTCATTTTTCTGCCAGAAACCCACACCCCACAGAGGAAGGGTCTGCGATCCAGTGCCTTGCGCCCCAAGAAGCCCGAACCTGCCAAGCAGACTGGCCCAGTGGTGATTGAGACCTGGGTAGCCGAGGAGGAGCTGGACCTCTGGGAGATTAGAGCCTTCTCAGAAAGGTCAGAGTCACACATTCAAGCGGAATATGTTTGCGCGTCCTGTGTAGGACTAATTATATTAGTCAGTTTAGAAACATGCCATACTGAGAGCCAGATATTGTTTCAGAAGAAGAATTTTCTGACTCAGCTAGAAGTAAATCGTCGGGTTAGATTTGTGCGAGATATGCTGGAAGGTCTTAAAGTTGATTTCACTGGAGTTTTTTTTTTCTTTTAGTATTTAACTCCATCACTCTAGACATCCTACTTTCATATTAGTTAAGAATTTGACAAATACATCAATAAATTTCTAATAATCTTTTAATTGTTCTGTTTATCTTTTAACCTTTTTCACATATTCTCATTTCACAGGGTGGAGAAAGAGAAAGCTCAGGCAGCTGAGCAGGCCAAGGTGAGTGAGGTTCAGTTTTTTAAGTCTGTTTTTTCATTTTTATCAATTTATTTTATTTTATTGTATTTATTTATTCAATCATTGATTTATTTTTCAAACTTACGGTAAACCTTTTGTCTTTGTGAGAGTGGAAAAAAGGACATCTGTGGTCCCACCTGGATAAAAAGATAAACAAGTCCAGGTCACGGTATTTTATTGTTTTGGGGCTTTTTTAAAAAATAAATAAGTTAATGTTGTGATCAACTTGTTTATTCTTTCAGAAACGCCTTGAGCAGAAACCAGGCTCAGTCACAACCCCAGCAGGAAGTCCTGCAACACCTGCTGCCACACCCAAAGTGATCGTTGGCTCACTGTCAGGCCAGGGCACCCCCGGCACCAAGGTGGTCCTGTCCACCAAGATGGGGACCCCTGTCACATTCCAGCAGAACAAAAACTTCCAGCAGTCGTTTGCTACCTGGGTGAAGCAGGGTCAAAGCACACAAGGTACTTTACAGTGTAATTAATAATCAGCATTTGGAGTATTTTTATATATTTTTTATAATATCCTGAATACTAAATAAAGTTGTAGGACCTATCAGAACAATGCTTAAGATCTATATATATCAACAGGTGCTGATACCAGGAAGTGGATTTGTTTTAGAGCTATGTGAACAAAAGGAAATAATTTAAAATTTAAAATCAATTTACAGTCTAACTATACTAGTCATGGATTAGTAATTTGTTTACTGAACACAAACTGAACCAGTTGCTCACAATTGCTTTGATTTACTGCATTTTCAAGGGAGCTGTCTCAGAAGACAAACACACACACACATGCACACAAACAAAAGAGAACAAACTGTGTATGTCACCATGAGCCATAACTGATCTTCATCAAGGCTGGGCTGTTGGTATGCTGGATGCTGGCATCCGTGTCAGAGGTGTTGCTGCACCCTTGCATCTCCATGACACCAAACATCTGATTGTCCTTAATGGAAATCTCACTGGAGCCACAGAGATGAGGTCCTCCGACTAATCCGACTGCACCCCGCCCTGCAGCTTTTTCAGCCGGACAGTTCCTGTCCCCACACTGCCAGAGGAGCGTGGGCTCCCCTGGATCATGAGCACATGCAGACTCTTACTTAGGCCAGCATTTAGCTTCATTTTGTCTCCTGTTGACCGTGCATGGGACATGCTGGGTTCATGTGTTCATTGCACAGCTGCAAGCTGTACTCATCCAGAAATGGAGAGCAAGTCCTTACCACAGTTTATGCACAGATGGGTGACAGCTTGCATCACCTTCAGAGGAGGCCATAATGCATAAATGTCTTAAATATGTTTTGGTGCTGGAGATGACATTTTATTAGGCATAGCTCTTTTCTAATTTTGAATTCTCTTATTTTTTATTAATTCAACTCAGCAAACTGTAAAGCATTTCTAAAGTATGTTGATTTCCTGTGTTGTGTCTTAAGCACAGTGGTTATGTGTGTTAATTAGAAGGGAAATATTATTGAATTTGCAGTGTAGCTGTAATTAAGGTACCTTTTGTTTATTTCCTTCCTTTAATTAGGAGCGGGCTCAGAGACCACGGTGGCCACATCTGGTGGGCACACTTTCCAGATTACGGGAACTTCTGTTGGTGGAAAGGTTGTGACCACCAAGCTGCCACTACCTGCCAACAGCAAGATCGTCACAGTCAACGTGCCAACTTCGCAAGGAGGTATTGCTGGTTTTAATAAGTCACACCTCAGAGGCAGACCCCGGGCAGCATTTCTTCTTTCCGTCCATTTGGGGATGCATGTGTGTTTGTTTTCATTGCCTCACATCAGATCCACACCAGCAGCATTTAAAATGTGTCAGAGGGGCCAAATTAGATCTGGCCCATGAATCGGATGCCATTGTAAGTAATTTAGCATACTAACCACACACAGAGTTCTCCAGGGGGACTGAGCTTGTCTTTATTCATTTCATAAATGTTATTGGTGCCAGCTGCTGCAAGCCGGACTTTTTGAACCTTTCAAATCAGGTGTTCCTTTTGTCCTTGATTGCGACTGTCAGCGAGCCAACAACACGACTTAGGGGAACTGCAGGGCTCAAGTGTCAGGATAGCTGGTCAATATTTAAAGCACTCTTTCAGAATCAGTCACACAGCTGTCGCAGATTCACCATGGTTCAAATGCGACCATGTTTTTCTTAATGGGCATGAAATTACATGCATCTAAAATACTGTATTTAGCTTGGTTTAGATCTAGATTTATCACCCTGCATCGCTGATTTGTTCTCTGATTCACTGGTAGCTTTAGTTTGCTTTTTCAGTTGTTCTCTGGCCCCGTTTCTTTACCCTGAAATATCGTACATCATTTCAAGCATGGCTTTCTAAATTAAAGACATGAAACGAATTGTGAAAACTGATGTAGTCAATATATACGTGTGTATATATCTTATGATAATAATGGGTCAGAAAAGTGGTTGCGTGTAGTGAGAAACTTCAATTAGCTGACAATTTTAAGGAAAGTGTTCCTGATGTGGGGAAACAGTTTAATGGCTTCTTCCTTTGTCCATCCTCCATCAGTGATGTTTGTTTGTTGGCAGATTTCTATTACATGAGAATTAACGTGCAACTGAATTATCATTTACTATTTAGTTTAAGGCTTGGTTTCACTACAATCATTTGCATTCGTAGATGTGAATGCACCGCAGTGTAAGAAGACTTATAATTGTTTTGTATGTTTTGCCACTCCAAAGATTAAAAAAAAATATATATATATTTGTTGCCTGTTTAAAGGTATTCCTGATGTCTCAGTGAATGAAAGTCATTTTTATCCTACAACTGTATGCACTAAGCACAACTTTACAGTGGATCGAATGAGAGGAACGTCTTTCCAAACGTAACTCTGTGTGTAATGTTTGAGATGAAAAGCAGCAATGCAGAGACTGCTGAAGTTACTGAAGGCGATAAGATCATTCAACAAACGTGGAACTTTTTCAACTGAATTTTGCAAATAATACTAGTAAATATTGTAATTTATGGCCATTGGCTCCTTCTTTAAACAATATTTTAGTTTCATACACAATTTTTAGGTCCTATGAATTCAGATGAACTCCATCCCTGCTGTAGTCTGTGCTCCTGTAATGCAAATGCACTGAATTTTATATCGCGCTTTTTTGACCACGCAGAAATTTACATTGAAAGCTGCATTCATTCTTCATATTTTCTATTTTATGCAGAGTATATTATATACTAAGGCCCACAATGTGAACCCAGAACCTTCTTGCTGTGAGGCGGCAATAATAATCACAACACCAGGTTGGCGTACCGTACTGTACCAGACTGGTCTGCACCAACCCCATTGTGGTGCCCAGTGTGAGCCAGCATGAGTCACTGGTTTGGTTTGGTGTGGCACACCGTGTCTGCTTCTGTCTTGTTGGCGTGGTATTCTTTTAAGAAGATGCTATTTTGGTTGGATGGTTTTTGGGATGGTAGACTTGTGTAGTCTGAGGTTCTAAATCAAGACTGTGGATTCAAAACTGTAGTATCTGTACGAACGCCTGTGCTTTTGAGCAGTTTGAAATGTCAATATTGACACCTTGGATGAGACGATGGTTTGTTCTGGACACCGTCAGTTCTGTCTGTGGCCCTGTCAAATTATAGGGATGAATGTTGCTCAGCACTTTGGAGATGTGGCCTCTCATGTTGACATGTTTCATTAAACTGCTGACAGCTCTAATGTGAGTCATATCCAGTGCTATTATGTCAGCATGTGCTTTTAAACATTACATCTGTTAAAGTGAAATTTGGCTTCTCTAAATAAACACAAAAAGAGTTCATCTGATGATTACAGCGCCGTGCAATAGTCCAGAGTCACGCGTCACATATTTCTATTTTGGTAGGAAAATTAGAAATATGCGCAGCGATGTATTGAAACGTATACAAAAAATGGAAATAAGGGAAAAACAGAATTTGTACAAATAAGCTGACAAGATTGGAATTCACTATTTGGTTTCATCACCTTTTATTCTGAAACACACACTGAAATCTGTTAGGCAAGCTTTCTTGTACTTTCTTGAAGTAGTCTTGAAGAATGGTTCACACTGCACATGGCAAAGTTTTTGCCAATAGCTCTTTGGGAATCACCTTGCTGGTGCAAAATCCCATTTTCCCAGAAAACTGTAAAAAGAAGAATGAACATTACAGTTAATTTTACACACCTCTTTAAATATATATTATAAAAAAAAAAAAGAGGCAATCAATTGAAAATGAGAATGATGCTCACCAAGCATAAAGTGATTTTTCTTGCCTTTGAAGTTGCCATGAAGGAGAAACTAAGTTCAGGTGGAGTGTAACCATTTAATGGACATGTGTATTTATCCAGCATGACTGTTTGGTGCCCTGTTTGGTTTGGAAGGGCTTAAGGAAGTTAGGCAGGAAAACAAGTTTACCCTGAGGTCTGCTTCCCAGACAGGTAGCCCTCTATAGTAAGATTCCTTTTTTCTTTTTTTTTTCCCCCCTTCGTCTTTTTGAATAAAAGTGTACCTCTCCACTCACCGGAATCCCAACTCCTCGACCTCTCCAAACAGCCAGCCCATAGAAAAGCCTGTTTGATGTGTGTGACCAGAGCAGCAACTCCCTCAGTCTTACGACTGGGCTTAACGTCCCTGTTTGAAGAGGGAAACCCTTGATATATAGGTTTACCTGCTCGGTTGCGGTTGAAAAACCACAGCAACGAGGCGGCAGAGGGAAAAAGAGCCACGCTCTCATGGTTTCCATTTCTGCCGTCAGCTTCACGTGAGCTCGTGAAGGCAGAGAACCCCGTGAACAGCTATGAAACGCCGGCTTTGTCAGATTAAAGTTAAGAACTAGGATGTGAAATTCATGCATAATATATGAGGGGGTTTCAGGTATGTTGGGGGAAACCCAACTAAGCTTTCAGTGGGCCTTTGAAGATTTTGTTTACCTGCTCAACTAATATTTACAAGTGCCGTGATCAAAAAGTGGCCCTCTAGCAAAAAGAGAAGCTTACAAATAATCTATTCAGCAGAGTTAATGTAGGACTTCTGTACAACTGCTCACTTTTGTAACGGGTAACCGCTGCTTCACATCAGAATTTACTTTCGTTTTGAGCATTTTAATCTTATTAAGAATATTTTTGTTTGTTTGATGTTTGTGTAGTTGTTAAATGTAAAGCAACAAGCAATTCAAACTTACTATTTACATCTTTATCATGTGTTTAAGCCACGTCTTTGCAGACACCATCACGAAAGTATTTCCTTCACGTCCAAATTTTCTTCTTTTCTTTGTCGTTTTTAGACTTGTAAGGCTTCCCTCAGAAACCTCATTCAAATGTTGCTCACCTCTAATTTTTTCACCCTCCTTTCTGTCTCTACACTCCTCTCCTCTCTGCAGGTGTGGTTCAGCAGAAAGTGCTGGGAATCATCCCATCCAGCACGGCAGGAGGTGCCCAAACCTACACCACATTCCAGCCCCGCACTACCACGCTCAACATCAGGCCCAATACTGCGGGCTCCCAACAACAGGTACAGCTGTTGTTTTTTCAGGTTACAGCTCTAGTTTGTACATTTTGTTCATAATTGTGTTGATATATTATTTTCAACCGTGTTTGCCAGTGATGGGAATCACCCAACACCCCACAATACAATTTGATATTATTGCTTTTGATGATGAGCTTTGTGATTACCCCTCTGCTGTAAAAGGCTGATGGGGTAGAGTTATAGCAGAATATCCAAACTACGGTAAATTGAGAGTGAGACGATGTAGGATTTTCAAATTGATACCATAGATGTGTCTAGTAAAATCTCGGACTGACGACGATCTCAAGGTCAGAGGTAAAGTTTTCTGAAAATCTTGTGAACAGAATAAATAGAGAACAAGGCAATGTAGGATTTTCAAAGCTACTAAAAATCTTGAACAAGTTCGAATCCCAGTGACATCAACCTCAAGGTCAGAGTTCAACCTTTCTAAAAATTGCCTAGGGTTCCCAAATTTATACCATAGGTGCATCTATTAGGAGGCTTTTTTGGTAAGGATGTAACAGCCTCCCCAGCAGTTGAAGAGCCCCCCCAGTTGGCTCGATGCAACGGAGGTCCCCCGCGCCACGGCTGAGCTCCCATGCTCCCACCCGCCCACAACCTCGGCGACACACCAACCAGGACCCAAGGCCCAGCCAGGGCCCCAGCCCGGAGATGGAGCGCCCCCAGAACCCCACGCCGGCCCCAGACCCACCCAGGGGCCTGGCTGGCAGAGACTGATAATAACTTTATACACATGCTCCCTATACAAATTTTTAAGTTACAGATTATGGCATTTTGGGTACTCTGTTATGTATTTAGCCAAAGATGAGCATAAGAGTGCTGTCTATAGAGAAAATGGTGTAGCTTTATGATAAACACCTTATAGCAAAGTCAAATTTTGTGGAACCCTTTCTTTATTTGTCTTTAATCAGTCTTAGGCATGTTTCTTTTGCATGAACCCAACCTGAATCTTTGACCTAGTTTAAAAAGTAGCTGCTGGCTTTGGAATAATTCATTAATACTGTCTTTATGGATAATATCTCCCAGGTTCTGGCAGGTGGCAGTCAGATCCGTCCAGGAATGACAATGATCCGAACGCCAGTCCAGCAAACAGGACCAATGGGAAAGACGATACTTCGAACGCCCCTCGTGGTCCAACAAGGTGATTTACATTCATTTTGGCTGAACAAAGAATAAAGGGAGTACTGCTATCTGTTTTGGCAAACTAACCCGATCCCTGAAAGTATTTTAAAGTTGCCATCATTGTTATAAATATGGGTGGGTTTTTTTGTACCATTTTGTTTTCGGATTTGATTTTACCCATTATAGACTCTCAGGAATAACAAATTATAGGTTTATGTTGAATAAATTAACACAGACTCTGTAACAGACTCGTTACTGTAAGTAATCATATTCAGTGTCATGTAACACTGTCTCCCCACAAAGACCAAAGTGTGGCGGGAAAAATGCTGAAAACTACTCAAGTTAAATTACTGGATGAGAGTAAAAGTGACCCACTGTTTATATAGTTTGTTGTCTGGTTGTTAAATTTGTGATATTGTTCTCTTTCAGGTCAGGGTGGACAGCAGGTAGTGACACAGATCATTCGTGGGCAGGCAGTTTCCACGGCAATATCTGCCGCCAGCCCCGTCGCCACGGTCACTGGCCAGGGAGTGGCCAGTCCCAACACAGCGGGACAGGCAGCAGGCCAGACACCACCCGGCACCCCACGAGCACAGGGGCAAGGCCAGGTCAAACTGACCCTGGCACAGCTCACCCAGCTCACGCAGGTTTGTGAGGTCCTGTCATACACAAGCAGCATATCTACAACAGGCAGCATTAAAATGGATTTCCCCTTATTAATTCACGTACGGAAAGTTGACTACTTTCCATATGCTCTAAACTCTTGCAGCTTCTTTTTTTTCTTACTCTTGGCTCTGTGTTGTCATAGAGGGGGGATATCCTCAGTATGGTCGTCTCAGGCACACGGCTCTGGCTGTGCCACCTTCTGTTAAATCCTTCTGTCAGTGAAGGGCAGGCTGTCAGTAAAGAGTTGGCACAAAGCAAAGGTGGCCGTAAGGGGGGAGGAGCTAAATCAGCTTCTCTGAGAGAGTGGATCCGCTGATGGAGCACAAAAGGGATCGGTCTAAGATGAACAAGATGTTTTTTGAGCAGTCAGTCATGCAAAGTGACTCTAGTACAGGCCAAGTGTAAAAATATAAAGCTGGAAGTGATCATAATAGGCCTTTAAAAAATAAATAAATAAATAATAACAAACAGCCCTGTGGCCTGTAACCATTTGATCTTGGTTATATACTACACTCATCCTGCTCTTAAAAGTAAGACAAATAACCTGTAGATATACATTTGTCTTTATACGTTTATCTTTAATTGTCTATTCAGATTTATAAATGTTCAGCTTGACAATTTTAGGATATTGCATAACTCCTATTTGATATTAATAGTTTTTTAGGGGCTTTAAGTCTTTCTAAGACAAACTAGGGTTGAAATACTTGGAAATGTAATATTTCAACCAAAAGTGTTGATGTTACAAGACTTATTTTATATTTGTGATTTTTTTCTTTTAGCCTTTATGTTGCAGATCACTTTAACATATAAGGTTCTTCACCCAGTAAAGGATTAACTTTACATTCAATGAATGAAAAAGGCTTTACTCTCATAAAAATATTGCATTTAAAACAACACCGCATTGCCCTTGTATCTGATCTGGATTTCTCTTAAAGAAATGGTGTTTTACAATTTTATGAACTATGACACACAAAGTGGATGGTGCCTTAAACCACATACATGTTTTAAGCAGTGGCAGAAAAGTCAGAGACAGTTGAGAGGCAGTGGCTCCTTCTGCTTGTTAGCAATTATTTGTTAACATGTAAAATGCCCTTTCTCGCAATAGTTTAAAATAATAAAAAAAATGATGGACTCCTGTGGATGCATCAGACCCATCACTAAAGAGTTCAGATGGGATTTCGGAGGGTTAAAAAGAAAGTCTTGTGTACACAAGATGTACGCAGTGCTGATTTTCCTTCTGAACAAATTTCACCTGGTTATAATGAGGTTTGGGAATTAGTGGGGGAAATAGGGTATTACTACTCCTCAGATAATGGTATGCAATCAACATTTGTTACAACAGGCAATTTATTTTGGATTAGACTGGACTGTAAAATTTTATTCACAAGCTTTCCCGTTCTGCTTCATCCTCCCACAGAAGCAGCAGGCTGGATCTGGTGTGGATCGGCAGGCTGGTGCCAGTGGTACTCAGCAGGCTCTCACGGTGATGGTTCAGGGCCAGGGTCAGACCACCGGCCAGCTGCAGGTCATACCTCACGGGGTCACTGTCATTCCAGGACCTGGTCAGCAGCTCATGCAGGCGGCGCTGCCCAACGGCCAGGTGCAGCGGTTCCTCTTCACACCGCTGGCTTCAGCTGCTACGCCCACGTCAAGCACAGGTATGATAAGAGACAAATGAAGGGCAGAGGAGGGCTTTTTCTACAGCTTGCATTAAGCGATAAAAAATAAGTGTGAAACTTAAATGTGATGTTTGAATTTAAGTGCATGTCTGCTTTTTCCTTTTTCTCCTTCCAGCCACAACAGCAACCAGTCAGCCCAGCTCCACCTCAACCAAAACTCCAGCCCAACCTGCTCAGCAGGCCGCTGCCCCGATTCAGACAGGGGCAGCCCCTCTGGCCACCGCCAGCACCCCTTCATCGGCCAGCCCTCAGGGCCAGTTACCCCCACAGACGCAGGCCCATATGCCCATCCAGTCTCCTACCTCGCTGCAGGTTAAAACACAGGAAGGAACTACCCAGCTGCAACTGCAGCAGACGTCCCATGTCATCAGTGTGTCTGGACTTCAGCAGCAGGTATAGTTACGACTAGCAAAAAGTTAACTGCATCCTCAGTCACTCCTTTCCCCTCAAAGTTGATGACTGTGACTTTTATTCACATTTAAAAGCCTCACAGCAGCTGGCAGTAAACCGGTTTGCTGTTTGGTGCAGTCTGTGGATTTGCCATTGTTTCCCACTTTGAACTGCGATTCAGCTGACAGAGTGATTTGTTAAAATTGTGAATTTTCTGTGTTGTGGCTGCAGGTGTTGGCCCAGCTGCAGGCCCAGCAGGTTGGAGGCACGCTGCCACAGCAAATCAAGCTGCAGCTTCCCATCCAGATACAACAGAGTGGGACCACCTCAGCTCAGGGAGGACAGGTATTAGATTCAGCTTGCTACTCCAGGACTTTAGATCCTCAGAAAATAAAGAATGAAAATGCGTTGGATGTAAAATTAAGCTTGTAGCAAAATTGTATTGCACATGTTCTAATGACCCCAAACATGTCATCATTGGGATGAAGATGTTAAATAATCTGATCCTTTATTCCTCCACCTTTTTTTCTGTATTTACAAAGCCACTTTTTTAAAAAAAAACTATCCAATGAATCCCCATTTAAAGCACAAGCTGACTGCCACACTCTGCTTTGCACAGATTGGGAACGTGGTTACCATCCAGGCCGCATCTGTCCAAGAGCAACTGCAGAGAATCCAGCAGCTCAGAGAGCAGCAGCAGCAGAAGAAGAAACAAGCTGCAGAAGCAAAGAGAGATTTGGCGCTCAACGCAGCCAGCCAGAGCGACATCATTCAGAAACAGGTGTGTATGTACGCAGCTGTCACAGTCAGGTTATCATCTCACTCTAAAACTCCTGGCCATCAGTAAATAAACGTTCGTCACCCTTTAACCTGGACTCTAATTTTACAGCTCAGATCTGTCTTTGTTTATAAAGCTTTATCCTGGCAATGCTTGTTCCTGTGTTTGTTTTTATCTGTATTTGACATTCTGTGCTATGCTTAATAACAATACATTTCTATAGATAAATGTTGTTCGCATCAAACTGCTGGAAGTTCACGGTAACAGGTCCTTGACTGACCTGTTACCATGAATGTCATACTTCTGATATTTCATATTTCCATGAGGTTTACTCTGTCGTCCTTCTGTGTCGCATATTCCAGGTGGTCATGAAGCAAAACGCTGTGATCGAGCACCTGAAGCAGAAGAAAACCATGACGCCTGCAGAGAGAGAAGAGAATCAGAGGTTTGCCTCCAGATTAGGGTTTTTTTTGTGTGTGTGTCACATGTGCTGCTTTAAAAGTCAACAGGTTAACACTTCATTAGTACCGGTAGGACACATTAAATGGCTTCTCAAAGCAAACATCTAATAAGCCAATCAAATGGTAGAAACAGTACATTTAGGCACGTAGACATGACGATGAAGATGATCGGATGTTTAAATTAAGTAACCAAATGGGGAACAAAGGTGGTTTAAGTGGGTGGTTTTAAGTGCTAGACAGGCTGGTTTGGGTATGTAAGAAGTTGCTGAGGTTTTTATGCAGCACTGTGTCTAGGTTTATGAAGAATACATCACTGAATACAAACATCCAGTGATCAGCAGTTCTCTAACCTCAGTGTAGTTAATGGCAGAGATCAGAGAAGAATGCCCTGATTGGTTTAAGTTGATAGTGAGGCAGCAGTAACTCCAGTAACCAGTCATTTCAACCAAGATACACAGAACAGCATCTCTAAATTCACAAACCTTCAAGTCTCAAAGTAGATAGAAACTAGAAAACTGAGGTTCACTAAAACTCAGCAATGGAAGGCAGGGAGGAAAAAAAAGAAGTGATGTGCTGGTGCGGGGAGTGATTTATTAGCCCCCTTTAGTGCATGTCTTTGGACCGTGGGTGGAAGCCAGATTACCTGGCTGGAGGGTGGATTTGACTCATAACCCTTAATGCTAATTAAGCATCATTTATAAGTCACAGCTCACCCACATATCGTTTCTCAAATGTCCATCCTATTGTTACAACTGCATTCCCACTCTCCAATCTCTGACTGAGTTTTTTGGCTTGATGTGTTCACTGTACTGCAATGGCCTCCACAGTCACCAGATCTCAATCCAAAGCCTGCAGCATCTACATGACACTACTGTGTCTTTGACTTGATACCTTATTATGCCCGTGTGCACGCTCGTATGCATGCTCCCTGCAGCCCATACGGGATCCTCTTCTCTCTCCGTCTGACTTTTGTCTAACACATTGTTGGGAGGTGCAGAACAACATGGGAACATTTGGACGTGTAACCACCAACAGCTGCATGTCTTCACTGTGACCCTACAAGCAGGCAAATCCATTTATAAATGACGGGAGTTGTACAATAAAAATATACATCTCTCCTCGACTCCTTCAGTGATTTGTGGTGCCGTAAACTTCAGAAAAGCGACTGAAAAATTAGTCGGAAATTTAAGCCGCCCCATTTTTCACTGCATCATCCCTGTGACCAATCCTACCGTTAGTAGGTCAGTATTTTTTTTTATGAAGAGCGTGTTTGTTTTCCAGGCAGAAAGCTACGATTGCTGCTACAAGACCGTTTTGTTTACTAAGCTTAGTTAGGACAACTGCAACTGTAAAATAAAAGCCAAAATATTCAAATGCTTAAAAAAATGTTTTTCTTCGTTCTTCCTTTCCTCCTTCCCGTGTTTTTATGTTAGTTAGAATATACTCTGACCTATAGCCGACCCTGACAACCATTTGTTTATGTCCACAGACACTGTGTAAACACTGTACCCATTCACACAGACCTGAAATACCAAACCCAGACTACCGTGACATCAGTACAGCAGCTCAAGCAGCAGCTGTCTGTCTTTGCTTATTTTTTCAACCTTTTTCCATTTCTTCATGTCATCCTTTTCTCTCTTTTCCTCCAAAACACGGTTCTGTTAGTAATAACGCGGAACTTTGGCATCCGTTTGCATGTTTATGTGCGTCCTGCTTTATTCCTCCACTTTCACGCTGCATTTGGCCTCTGTACTTCAGCGGGCACGTGGTAGGATCCCTGGCCGATCTTTGACCTCAGCAGCCGAGGATGTGTTTGTATGTTGTTCGCACAAACTCGGCGCCGAACGAGGCAACGGCTTTCGATCTCGTCTGTGAATGTTAGCGAACACAAG